ACTTCTTGTGTAAATTGACATGTAAGATGATCAGCAACCATGTCTAAGATTAATAAGTCATTTGGATTTGAATTAAGAAGTTCTTCAGATGGCTGATCTGGTTTACTTGCTTTCTGTCTTAAGATTGGCATTTCAACATTTGTTCTGCTGCTTGCTTGATTAAGATGAGCATATTTTTTATCAATGTATCCTCTCATATCTTGAAGCCTTTTTTTATCTTGGTTTAATATTAAAGTTGAAAAAATTTCAACATGTTGATCTAGATCAACTTGCACAACAGAGAATGTGATTGGATCTTTTTTATGCAGTATCATTAGAACTTCCATTGCTTTAAATTGAATAAATTCCATCTGTACTATGTCAAGAGATAGTTTTGCAAGATAGTAACAATGAGCCAAGGTATTAGTATTTTTTGTAGATATTATCAACCTATGAGCAATATCCAGTATACCAAACAATAGTGAGTATGGAACTGATTCTGAAATATGATCTGACATGATTTTTAATTTAGATTTATATCCATCTGTTTCAGACTTTGCTGAAACTGCTTTATTCCACTCTTGGTCTCCAAATCTCCACAGATCCTTAATAAGCATCAATTCCCCTCTAGCAACCAAATTTCTATGAATTGGAGCAGCTGACCATTCAACAAATGCTTGGTAAATTGTATATAAATATCTCCATTCCCTGTACCAATGTCCCACAGAAAACTTAGATTGTAAAGTCTTCTGAATATCATTATATATTTCAATAGTAGCTTTGTTGTCAATTGGGGTTTCTACAATTGTCATAATACCAGTTGTACCAGGTAAAGCCTCAACTAGTGCAGCAAAAAGAGCCTTTAGTTGGTTTATAATTTCAAGCCATGCAGTTTTATCATCATCCATCATACAAAGAGTATTATAAAGATGCATAAATAAATAATCATTGTTGTAATTTCGAACTTTTACTTTAACACTTCTCTCCAAAGTAGCAGATAAAGCCCTTGGACTTTGTAAGCCTTTTTCTATGATTTTGGTATAACATTGATGGAAGTCATACAATTTTGTAAGATTTTCATGCAAAGTTTCAAGTAACTTCTTGTCCATCTTAACAAGTCGCTTGCCATATGTTTCTAAAGCAAATACATATGCTCTAAGATGCAGTTCCAATTCAATATCAGTGGTCACCTCATAGTCATCATATACAACATTAATTCCAATTGTTTCCAAAACGTTTCTCAGCTGATTACCCTCTAACCTACTACCAAATAATAGCAACAGATTGGATAATTTAATAAGATGACTGATTCTGTCATTATGGTTGATAATTGATTCCAAAGTTGTAGATAGTTGTTCGTTTAATTCAACCTTGTTCAGATTTGCTGTAAACGTTTGTTCATAATCTTCATAGTCATCACCACCATTATTATCACTGTCACTTTCAAAGACAATGAGGTCTCTCTCAAACACATTTTCAGTCTCTGCATCATCAAGCTGCTTCGCTTTCCCTTTGTTTTTGGTATTCGAGGATGACGGTTGTCCAATTTCCTAACAATATTAAACCGACTTGTAAAAGCATTGCTTAATATTAATTTTGAAAAGGAACTTATTGAATGTATAACCAAAACTTACCCAGCTGTCTGCTGGCGACGAATATTCATGGTCCATACCAAATACAAAAGTTTTATCGGCAATATTAATACTAATACGCTACAGCAGAGTGAAATTCGCTTGTTTATGCTTGTGTGATGTGATACAATTTAATTTAGTGATGTCGTCACAATATCAATATAGTTGCACAAGTTGTTGGCTAATGGAGAAAAAAAAATAAAGACTTCTAACATCAATATGGTTTTTTCTCGGGCGAAAATTTGAAACTTAACTGTCACAGGTGTGTTAGCTCCGCCTATTAATACACATTTTCTACCAAGATGATTACAACATAAATTCAATCTGTCAATCCACTGAAAACATGTTGACTGTGTTGAAAACTTAGCATTTATGATTGGATAAGCAAGTTGTCAATTCCGTGATAGTGCGAATTGTAATCTTTTATTGATCAATCTCGTAATCGTTCACTTAACAGTAGGAGGACAGATTATATGAGTGTCGAAGATGCTTCAATGGCGGAATACAAGAGAAGATCATGAAAAAGACCACTCATCATAAGACTCCCATGTTTAAATACGTATGTGTATTATTAATTTTAGTGTCATATCTAGTTTCCAAAATTCTAATAATTATCGAGCATCGACAAAGCAAGCTCTTACTGTATTATTTACAGGCAGCCCGATCGTCAGTTGACTTGTTACACTTGTTATAAGAAATAATCGGGAAGAATAGTTTTCACCGGAACTCGATTTTCCTTGTTGAGATAAGATTGTATATATATGTGGTCAGTGACAGGTAATCGTAACACACCAGAATGAATATGTCGAATCATTAAGGAACAAACCTCCGTTGCTGCATCGAAAATTTTGTAGGTTTGGTTTAGTTGGTCGTCTAACTCTAGTATTGCCGCAACATTGCCACATCTAAGAGATATATATGTTGTCAGAGAGGTTTACGAAATATGCATCAACGGCATGTCAATTATCTCTGTTCCTTACCTATAACAGTAATTTGGGGCTGACCATACTGTTACCAGTGTCTCACCAAACATCAACTTGTAACCTTCCATCACAAGCTGATGTGCCCTTGCTATTAGCTCCAAATCATTCATATGTAAGAACTAGTCGTATAAAAAAGACAAGATTAATTTATTAAAAAAAAAAAGGCAACTGATAAAATGCATCAAGATGACAAAATCCAAGGGTTACCGATGCGACAGCGTCCCCCCCAAAGAGAAAACCAGCTCCACGGGGACTTAGGCTCCATCCATCCATATCTGAAGAATCTATGTATAGTTGTGTATACGTATTAGTATATTTAATGTTGACTAGTAATTATTTTAATAAATATCCACAAACCATAAGGGTCAGACCAGAGCAAATCACACATGGGTCCGTCGTGTGGAACTTCCTGCATTCTGTCAAGATTTTTAATCTTGATCGCACAAAGTGAATAATCACAAGCGAATCAGCTATAGTGTACGGAACCTTGTAATATAGCCTCGGTTATCGATTTACCGCATATTAATATGCTATTTCATATTACTAGTTTCGCACAATTAGTTCCACAGATAAAAATGTACCTGATCGAGCACTTGAATAGTCGGAGATAGTCCACCATGCACACAGAATATTCTATCGTCAATTATGGCAGCCAGACTGATGAGATCAAATATATCGCAACAGAGATTCCATACATCAGCTGTTCCGTATTTACGAACACATTCATCATAAAATCCATAGACTTGAGTAATTTGTCGAGACTCATGGTTGCCTCTTATAAGAGTGATTCTATCGGGATATCTCACCTTGGTTAATATATATAGAGTATCAACGAAGCATTGATTAGATAACAAATCGAACTGTTATGGGGGGAGGGGGAGAATGAGTATGACAAAACCTTGAGTGCAAGCAATAGAAAGAAGGTCTCGACGCTATAGTAACCACGGTCAACAAAATCACCTGCAAAAAGAAAAAGATTCGAAAGTATGTTAACTAATGAAACTTTTACATTTCATAAATTCAAAAGCGAGCGACATACCTAGAAACAAGTAATTGGTCTTGGGACAATCATCACCAACTCTAAACAGTTCCATCAAATCGTAAAATTGCCCATGTATATCGCCGCATATCTGTGTTATAGTCGACAAACGTCTGAGCAAATCAACGCATACACATAGGGCATCACAAACCATAGAAACAGAAAAATGCATTTGACAGAATTTACCGTCACCGGTGCATCGACTCGTTGTACGTTCGACTCTTCTATTAATATTTCGTAAGCTTTTGCACATAAACGTCTAACTTCTCCTTCGGTAATAAGCTCGCAATTCCGGATTTTTTCGATTTGCCTACAAAAATTGATTCGTTTGATTAGTTCGAACAGCTCAGATGATACTCGCAGCGTCAATACATGTTGAGAACCGACAAACCTATCGAGGTCGCTATTTCCCATTGCAGTGATAATTACTATGGAACAAAATATAAAAAAAAAAAAGGGTGCGTGCGTGCGTGCGGCACCCAACCCTAGCGATCTGCATGTGCAGACTATTCCAGCAATGTTACACACAAATTTACATTTATTTGGGAAGTAAGCTTATTGCATGCTTTTTTTAACTTCTATAGTTTGAATGTATTCTACGCTTTATTTATCTGTCTGACACTAGCCGGAAAAACTACCCCGTCAAGGGGGTGATCCGAAAACCTGTTTCGGTATTAGTATGGCAATTACTATTACATCGATTCGTGCCGGAGAGGCCTGGAGTGAGAGAAATCTATCAAACGGTTGTCTCGACGAATTCCGCCAAGATTTCTCGGCAGAAAGTTCACACATTGAGCCTATATTCCACCATGTCGGAACCACTGTTGATTTATCGATTGATCTCATGACCTACACCTTGCGTTTGTATATTATGCTGCGGAATATTAATATTAAGGACAATGCTTTTCTTATCACGATGATCTGGATAGCATATTAAGACTACTTATCATCACACTACAGTGTTTGCTCTGTAACATGACTCAGCTCGACAACCTTTCTCTAGAATATTATCCTGTAGCAATTTCTAATGGCGACGTCATTTATGATGTACAACTAAACAACGTAGAAGAAGATAATAGTGCAGACAACTGGGCGCTATTCCAAGTGACGAACTTACGTGTGAGTTTTACAAAGAATGAATAAGATGAGACATTATCCGATATACTTGACAGACCCTATTAACCTTTATGTGAACATCTAAATCATTGATTTTCCCCTGCACGTATAGAGCCCGCCTGATGAAATCACCCTTAGACAAATATTATCGGACACGCACGTCAACTTCGAAATCAGTGCATATGATGGGGCGAGTGCTCGCGTAAGTAGACATACATTTAATTATTGAAGAGCACATTCGGTTGACCCCTTTTACAGCACGAGTATTTATTGTCAATTACAATATAAATTGCAGATTAAAATATGTTTCCGCGACAACGACATGCGTTCATCTATCGTGTCTTGTCTGCGTAACTCACCCGAATTGATCAGACTAAGTAGCAACGGATTTGATGACTGGTGCCCAACCGATTCCCTCACTGTCCAGCTAATGTGCTTGATGCCGCCAAGCGATACAGATAATGATAGTCATGAAGAATGGGTTGATGAGAGAGAACTAGTAGATCAAATACTTCCGGGTGGTGAGCAGGACAGCAGTGAGCAAGGCAGCAGCGCTGGACAACTTGTGAGGGATCCATTGATATTGAGGACACTTTCTCCCGGAGCAAGATATGTCGATGTTAGAGATCACGGTAATGGGTGTTATGGAGTCATCTGGAGTTCAGATAGATCTTCGTTCTTGCACTGCATCAATAATTTGAATGCACTAATTAAAGCTGTGAAGGCAAAATGTTTGGATCCTGTAAGTAATGGAATTAAATTGTTTGTACGGCTTCAAGCTACCTCCCCACATAATTCATTTCCGTCATTCGACTATACATTAGCTTAGGGCGATTCTCTGGTATCGTTTCCAAATAGCAGCTAATTCTGCGTTGAAACTATGTGATGCCATTTCTGCCATCAGAAACTCGGTTGGAAATGCATTCTTCCGACTTGTGTTTGGGGATGTAGGTGCAACTCTGACACCTAAAATAGAAGCGCTTGATAACGTAATAACAGATCTGCTGGATGTGCTGAAACATCGGAATCCCGAGGATTACTTGGACCAAGCACTAGGCAAGTCCTCGAGCAATCGTGTATTTTAGTTTTTCAACCATTACTGATAATCCTTGTTTTATTTATATTAGAAATCTTTGAAAGGGTTATCCGTTGCTTCAATGAACTGGGCGATCAATTGAAACAAACAGAGGAATCTATGAAAAAATTTGTTAAACGACAGGAAACGGTTGGATTAATTGGATCGACGGTAGAATTCGCCGCCGTAATGTAAGGCATGACAATCATGGACTTTAAGGGTACTTGATGAATTATACTCACGTATTTTTAAAATGTAGTTGCGTCAGTGGACTTGCAACGTCTTTATATAAAGGATGGCAAACTATTGGTTGGAAAATGGTAAGAATATTTAAACAATTTAGTTATCTGTCTCACTCTGTGGATTATTATATAATCTATTTGACATACCTACTGCAGAAAACCGCACAAGTATTAGGGATCTTTGGGTCAGTTGGCGTAGTGTTCTTGGTCAATCAATTGAAGGAAGTTGCAATTATCTGCGGAAAGACTGTTGAAAACGTCCAACTGCTACAAAATACTTTGGGGAGACTTCTTCAACAGGCTGGCGAAGATTTCAGACTTGCTAATAATAACGGACAGGCCAAAGTTGAATTACTTATTGCGGGACTTGAGAGATTCCAATTGGCTCTTCGACGTCAGGGGGAAGGATTCACAAGACAATAAATTCATTGTGAGCAAGTAGTAATGAAACGCGCTCAATGAATTATGTGAAAGTTTAGCGAAAAATATTTGAAGTTTGCATAGGAGATAATTGTCTATTCTAATTATTTATTACTGTTGGAAAGCTTCCTATTTAAATTTGAATTTGTGCTTTTTTCTTTGCAGTTTATATATAGTAGTGGGGAAATAAAATTTTGTAAATCTCTACACTTGCGTGTCGATCCAGTGTAATCTAAGTCGTAGGGCCGTAGTTTGTCTCGCGTCGCCTATATGCAATATGCCTTACATCGAAACGCGTATACTAACAACTTTACTTAGTATTGCTGGACATTGAAACCTCATATCAGTCGAGTAATTAATTTATCAGTTTACCCAAGTCAAAAAGACTTATCCGCTCGCTTGCGTATTGATAATATAAAGTGTTAATACAGTGTAAACAATTGAGTAGAAGCTCATTTAGCAGTCATTATTTTGTCCCAATATGGATATTGTTTCAACATCACTGAATCACATGATTGTGTTTAAACGTAAATGAGACCCTATTTTTTGTGTAGCGATCAGTCGCGTAGGAGAGTGTTTTGACCGAGGAATATTCACAAGCTGTCTGCTTACACACGACGGTAAGATGACAAAGATACTATGATTGGGTGTGGTAAAGGTGCTGCTGACAATTAGTTACTGCTAAAAGACATAAAACGCTATTCGCCGGCTGGATACAAGCATTTGAAAATAACTTTATCAATAGGAAGGAATTCGTGTCGTATAACAGATATACTGGAACAACATTAGACAATCAACATTTAATCTTCAGCGGTGTATGCTTACGCGTCCTGTTTATTGCAGCAAGCTCTCACAAGTACTAAACATTTACAAAGTAATATTAAGAGCACATTATCTTTTGCTGTTAACGATGCCCTACCAGTATTATCATAAAAAACGGAATTCGTTATTTAATTAATGCCTTATTTCTCTCTATATTATTTTCTCAAACCAGTAACTTATATGTACTGTAAATGTAAAATTATCATTACGTTACTTATTTTAAATTATTAGGTCTGTTAGATGTCCAATAGTCTGACGTTAATACTTGCGTGATGAAGTGAATTTACCTAAAAAGATGTTACACTCGGTAGTAGGAATAGACGTAATATTCCCAAACAACCTAATACTAATTAGTTATACGATGTAAATTAGAAGTAATATTATAGTTATTTATATTATTTCGACATGTATAAAAACAGCGACATGTTCACGGAATAGGCCAATTCCTGACTTGGGCCAGAATATAGATTAAGATGTCGAATAAATTAGATAAATAAATAAATAAAAATTTCCAGAGTTTCTCTCGCTGCTTTACAGAAAAGGAAAAGTTGCCAATTTAAGTGAAGAAAACCTTATTGTTTTAATAATCAAATTGCAGAATATTTATTTGCTTGCGGAAGCAGTACGATTAGTGACATACTTCGTGCTGATATGGTAGATGACAATGACATTATTAAAATAGTCTTATCCGAGAGTAATGAGCAAAGATACATACAAATGAACGTAATGACAGCAGACTCAGAAAAAAGATTTCATTTGAAGTGGCTCTTAAAACGATAATCGAATTTATTGAGCAAAAGCCAGATAACTCATTTGTTGCACGAAAAGACGTGGTTAATTTACAGCGTTTACGATGTAGTATTGAATTAAACAGAGTAGAAAGTCTTGAGACAAGAGGCTTTCGATCGTTTTTGACAAGTTAGATTGAATAAAACGAGTAATAAGAGCAATAAAATAGATTGCCCTTATTGTATCACCTGTCTTATACAAAAATTTCGTGGACGGGGCTGACCGGTATAAAGAGGCCTCACTGTATGACGTAATGGTAATATACTATACCAACGTAGTGATGTCCCAAATTTCATGTCTAACGTTACCCTGAAATTATTTGACAACTTGGATAAAATTTTGACATTTAACGATAACAATAAAGCAGATTCGAGAAGCGACTTACAAGAAGACTTTTATTATTCAAGAAAAAATAGCGCGGGTGGTAGAGTGTAGTTGACTGGATGACTTTTTTAAAATTGAAACGGTATTTACGGATTTTGGCCAAGTGTATTCCTTCTCTTATAAGCTGAATATTATTTCTTTTTAATTGTTTGTTTTTTATTATTATCAACAAACATATACTTGTAAAAAAAACTGCAACACATTCGTTGACTTATAATATGGTGAAGGTCCCTAAACAGTATACTACATGGTCACATATCATTACTAGAAAAGGTGATTGACGTTTAGAGCAGCATTTATGTGCTTTGGGAAATCCAACACTTCGGAAATGTCAGATGCCCATAACATTCTGCAACTAGCAACTAAGAAGCTTGGGAAGTCGGTTATCTGGTTGAGGAAATTTAATATGTGCTTAAGAGTGCCCATATTATGCGTGCATAAAATTGTTGAATAAACAAACAAACTTCTTTATAGCCACCAAGTCAGCGATATAAACTGCAGTTGTCAAAGATAGAAAGAGAATAAGCAATTTGTGAAACCACATATTTCTATGTAACACAATAAAGTGTTGAAACATTCTTTCACTTGAAAACTTTTTTATTCATTAGTTCCAGGGGTCAAGGATATGCATAATCCAGCAATTGACAACTTGGTTCAAGCCTCCTTAGAAAGTGAATATACTTTTGAATGGATTCCTTGCTCGGAAATTACCAACATAGAGCCAATTCAAATTGACAACGTAAACTACGCTATTCGCATGCAAACGGGTGGTGGTAGAGTTTACGAAACGAGGATAATGCTTTCCCTACTTGGAAATGATGAGATATGTACAACAACACTTGTGAGTGAGTTTGCTAGAATATACTCACTTTCAACACACAAGTACTAATGATGTCAGTCGATTTAGACGATATTCCCGATGGCTTAATTGTCGCAACTACTTGATAAAAGGATTCACCAAGTACG